AACACTTAGCCTAGCTGTGCCACACCTCGGCCTAGATGTGCCACACCTCGGTCTAGGTCATACCAGTCTAGGAACAAGATCACTAGGTGTAAGGATCAAGGATCTAGGTGTAATAACCCCGACCTTCGATTAATGCTAAACCATGATTATTTATGCCTAACAGTAATTTAGGAGGAATCTGGAATTAATTTGCATATAATGGCATTATCTTTGTGTTTCTATCTATTTGCCATAAAATGATATGTTCATGTTTCGACTTTGAACTGCGAATTGAAAGCCTTATCGGCGGCCAAATCTGAAACTGATTAGTGTTTTGTGTTAATTAGAATTTATGTGATTTTATGGTAAATTTAGTTGAAATTTGATTTGGTGTGATTAAATTAGATTATATAATGCTAAATTACATTAGTTTAAGTTAATTACCATTTTGCCATTTAGTGGACAATCCTGGGCCATTATTCTCCATGTTATGTGTTGATATCATTTTCATTCATCTTCCTAAGCCATAACCGACTAGAGAGTGAGAGAACCACCAAACCAAGCCTTAAGTCCCATCAAATGGGGTCGGCTACATGAATCCTTCTTCTCCACGCGGCCCTATCAAAGGCCATTTCATTAGTCAAATTAAGTAGATTCATATCTTTATTTATAACGCTAGTCAACGTTAATCTAGGCCTACCGCGTCCCTTAACACTTCCATCTACCGTTACAGCATCGCATCTCTTCACTACTACCTCTGTTGGTCTCCGTTGAATATGACCAAACCATCTCAAACGATTCTCTCTCAACTTATCTTCTATCGGTGCTACTCCTACCCATTCCCGAATACACTCATTCATAACCCTGTCTTGTCTAGTCTTACCACACATCCACCTCAGCATCCTCATCTCAGCCACACTCATCTTATCTACATGTTGTTTCTTAGTTACTCAACACTCCATCCCATACACATAGCTGGTCTAATAGCCGTTCTATAAAACTTACCTTTTAGTCTAGTGGGTATTCGTTTATCACACAATATCCCAGACGCATTTCTCCACTTACATCATCTCGCCTTAATCATATGGGCCACATCTACATCAATCTCTCCCGCTGTTGTGATAATCGACCATAAATAACGAAAATGTTCACTCTTAGGCAGTTCTTGGTTCTAAATCTTCACTTCTCCCCTGCTTTCATTGTTACTGTTACTAAATTTACACTTCATGTACTCTGTCTTAGTTCTGCTTATCCGAAATCCTTTAGATTCAAGAGCTTTTCTTCAAATCTCCAACTTTGTGTTAACTCATTCTCTAGTTTCATCCACTAACACAATATCGTCTGCAAAAAGCATACACCATGGCACGTCATCCTGAATATTTATCGTCAACTCGTCCATAACTAAAGCAAAAAGATAAGGACTTAAAGTAGATCTTTGGTGTAACCCTACAGTGATAGAAAATTCATTTGTCTCTCCAGCTGGCGATCTAATAGTGGTCACCACCCCTTCATACATGTCCCTAATCACGTCAATGTAGCCTTTTGTCACCCCTTTCTTCTCTAACACTCACCATATTATATCTCAGGGCACTCTGTCATATGCTTTCTCAAGGTCTATAAACACCATATGAATGTCTCTTTTCTTTTCTTTATACTTTTCTATTACTCTCCTCAAAAGGTAGATCGCTTCCATTGTTGACCTACCAGGCATAAACCCAAATTGATTCTCTGACACCTTTGTTATGTCTCGCAATCGGTGTTCCATCACCCTCTCCCACACTTTCATTATATGACGCATTAGCTTGATTCCTCTATAGTTGTTACAATTCTGGACATAGGAGAATTGAAGAGGCTTTGCAAATTTGAGCTCCTAGACTTGGAATTCAAGGTTTAAGGTAGGAGATTTCCCTTTCAATTGTGAATTTAAGATTAATTCTTGCATGGTTCATGGAAGATTAGAGTTTAAAGTCTAGAATTGGTTTAAAGAGTTGGATTTGAGAGTGAACTCATGCATGCATGCACATATTCTTGGATTTTGGGGTTGTTCTTCATGAATTTCCACATGCATGTCCACATTTTTGTTATAGTCCATGAATTCATCCTATTCTTGAGCTTAATCTTGCTTTGGATCATGTTTTGGAGCATTAGAAGTCATGAGAATTCATGCATGTTACATTTAAGTTTTGTTGTTGGAGTTTTATTTGAAATTGTGTTTAATTGACTCACCTTTGGGCTTTGATTTTACAAATTGATCTTTGAAACATCTTATACTATGAGTTTACAAGTGTTTTCCAGAAAATGGGCCCAAGAGGTCGAGTTTTGAGGTGTTGAATGCTTGGTTTGAGCTTGGGAGGCAAATTTGGAAATTCCAGAATTTGGCTTCCTCGCTTGAGCGAAGGATTCCACGCTCAAGTGACCATCGTTTGTTCAGAGCTTCGCTCGAGCGAAGGAATGGTGGCTCGAGCGTAAATTGCAAGCTCTTAGGTTTTTGGTGCACGCAGACGCACGCTCAAGCGACGAGACCTATGCTCGAGCGAAGAGCTGTGTCTCACGCTCGAGCGGGCATCGAGCGTAAAATTTCAACAACCAGTACTTTTGCATTTTTACAGACCGCTCGAGCGAAGGAGTCTACGCTCGAGCGACCCCTCTGTTTTGACAAGCTCGCTCGAGCGAAGAAAGCCACGCTCGAGCGAGACCCCTGTTTTCAGCAAATTTTGAAAAATGTTTTTCAAGGCATCTTTGCATCCTCATTCCATCCTAGGCATTCTTGGGCCATGTTTAAGACTCTATAGTGAGGATTTAAGGTTAGAAACACACTAAGAACCATCGACATAAGTTTTATGCAATTAGAATGTGTGTTTCAAGTATGTGTCCGTTATGTGTTATGTAGGTCACGTGCCGTGTGTCGTGTGATCAATCTGCTCCGTCTGTCTGTTTCAAGGCCAACTGTGAGTAATAATTTAGTAAAGTTATGTTCACACTGTATCTACTTTCTGTGTGATAAAACAAGATCCGTTTTTCGAAATGATATGTTTTGTACAATGAATGATTGTTCAATTTCTGCTATGTACTCGTGACATCCTTGGCATCATGTGATATCTGTTAGCTGTTACCCGGTATCGAAGGTTCCTTTATGGAACTTATTTCTGTCTGCACTCTGTTACCCGTACTGGAGGCCCTGTCACGGGGGCTCAGCTTCTGTTCTATTCTATTCTGTTGCCCGGATCCGGAGGTTCCTTTATGGGACTGGTGATTCGTAACCTCACGTGTATACGTTCTGTTCTGTTCTGTTCTGTTTATGCTAATGGATGTATCACGTAAACTTAATCATGACTTATGATTTCTGTCTGTATATGATCTGGACAAAATATGCACTACTAAAGAAAGGGCCTTTTGAGTCGGTTTTTTGAGTCGGCAAATTTTACCGTCGCAAAAGGTAGCCTTTTGAGACGGCACAGAGTTACTGACTCAAATACCAAACCTTTAGTGTCGGCACCGTTGGCCGACACAAAAAATTAATATTTGATAGCATTATTTGAGTCGGTTGAATTTACCGACGCAAAAGATAGACCTTTTGAGTCGGCATAGACCTTTTGCGTCGGTAAATTTGTGCCGACGCAAAAAATTAGACCTTTTTACGTCGGCAACTGATGCCGTAGCAAAAAAAAATATTTATAGAAAAAAAATTTATAGCCAAGATATATATATATATATATATATTTACTTGATTATATTTAATAAATATATTTGTTTATACATATACTTTTATATTAATATTGAGTGTATATACTATAAATAATATATATCTCATTTAATATCTAAAAGAGGTATGGTGGTCAAGTGGATTTAGTGCGGTGACTTCAGGTCAAATCATCCAAATGGAGTGTGTTCAAAACTTGGGAGCCTTAATGAGAAAATTGTGGGTTAAATTTTTTTAAAACATTTAACCACTTTTTGAGTCGGCAATCTACCGTCTCAAAAAATTGAAACTTTTTGCGTCAGTAGATTGTCGACTCAAAAACTTTTTGCGACCCCACCATTTTCATCCCTTGAGTTGCCGTCGAAACGCCGTCGCAAAAAGTTTTTGCGTCGGCAAATCCGCTATTTGCGACGGCACGCTGCCGACTCAAAAGCCCTGTTTTCTAGTAGTGATGATTTTGATATGAACTGAATTATGATTTCGAAATATGTGCGAACTCATTCATTGAAACCCTTTACTCTATTATTATTCACTGGGCTTCGCTCACAGTTTATATTATGTATGTAGGTGAGCCGGCATGTGACCAGGGCCAGAGTTGACGGCCTTCTGTTTTGTTTTTGTCAGCCAGTTGTTGTGCCTCCCGAGGAGGTTCCGAACGAAGCCTAATGCCATGGCTGTTTTTTGTAATCATGCTAGTCTTGTAAAGTCAGGTCTTGGGAAGTACAATCTGTAGATACCATGTAAATATTGTGTATATGGACTGGCATGTTTATGTATATGTAAATAAGTTTTGAAATGTTTTGTCCCATGTACGTTATCACAGCTCATTGGACCTTGTCTATTTTGTATTATTGCTTCCGGAGCCCATTATTATTTGCTAATCTGTTCAGAGGCCTTTGGTAATCCACGGATTATTGGCCGGTTACGATGCTAAACCTATAGGGGCGGGTTTGGGTCGTGACACTAGGACGCCAAGATGATAACATCTCGGCCTAGATGATACACATCTCGGCCTAGGTGATGCACACCTCGGCCTAGATGATGACATCTCGGCCAATATGTCAGGGTGAAGGTAGAGGTCAACCAAAGTGGTTCCAAGATGGTCCTAGGTGTAAGAGGTTCAAGGGTGTGACCTAGGCTATACACACCAAGCAAGGAACAAAGCATACAAGCAATACCCAAACAAATCACATAAGTACAAAACAAGACAGGGACCTTTACTTTAGGCCAAACAAGTCGAAATCTACAAATGCAAGCATAACAAAACAAAATCATGCGGATGCACATGAACATGGCGAAGACGAGGATGAGGGTCATTACAATACCATTTTGATTGTAGCCATATGTTGTGCCAATGAGTTACAGGGTAGGAAACAGATAAGCCTTTCTGTAATTTGGGGAGTTTACAGCTGCAATATTACCAAGCTTTAGTGGACTTGGATCCAGCGAAGCAAATGTCAGGAGCTCCATATCGCATTGTAATATAGCCATTTCTTGTTCATCCAATGTCACCCATGCTTCTATTCCATCGCCGCTTCTTGTTTCCATCAAAATGATGAGGTTCAAGAACACTGAGCCAGTTGAACCAACACCGCTAACCCATATAGGCTTCCCCAACCCAAAATCTGCTTCATAAAAGCCTAGCTTACACCAGCTGGTGAATCCAAAGTAATCCACTCCTCCATCTTTGGAGCCTGGCTCTTCCATCATCTTGAGGGACTTGCAGATAACATTAGACCGTTCATCACCTTGTAGTTTCTTTATAAAGTCGCTATTAATTTTTGATATTCCTTCCCTTACCTGACCCACCAAGCCCTTCAATCCCAGCTCATCATACCTGGCCTTGCAGTGCGTACTTGCTATCCAAATGAGGTTTCCAATTGAATTTTCCATCAAGGGTGGTATAGTCCTCCTTCGCAGATTCACCGCATGGCTTAGCAGAGAAGGCCTTGTGAAACCACGAGTTTCTTCTGAGGCTGCCATAGCACATTTCCATATGAAAGCAGAGACCGCCTCAACTTGTGTTGGATTCTGCACAGAATTGCTGGCTGCTTTTGCCTTGAGGTTAGCAATAGCCGAGGCATCAAATGCAAATCTCCTGGTAGTACACTTTCCTATCTTGAATAAAGAACCCCACATGGCAATTGATGAATCTCTAAGCCACAAATCATTTGTTGGGAAGAGAGAAGTTGCTATGAAATCAGGATATACAACTTCTTTAGACCCACAAGCGGTGGCAGACCACCCTTTCACAAAGGTGCTCAGTGCAGTCCCATCAAGGATTTTGTGTGAAATGCAGAGTCCAATAGCAATTCCACCACACTTAAAGATGTTTACTTGAATGTTAGTTACATGAGTTCCTGCTACTGACCCCTTGAAACTGGTTTCGCAGGGAAGGAATCGATGTATCACCTGGAGGTCCGGCTGGCTCAGAAAGTCAGCAAGGCAACAATTAACCTCGGTCTCCATGTAACAAGCCCCTTCATCGTTGCAGTCAATGGTAAGGTCGTCTTCGATCTTTCCTGCAAGTGGGTAGAAGCAAGTTAAGGTTTCGGATAGCGATTTCTTTAACACTTGTAATCTTTTCAGGAGTTGGAGATTGGTAGCACCATCTTCATTGGGATAAAAGAAGACAAGTGGAGCATAAGGAGCAGGAATGAGTTGGTCCAAAAGGGAGAGCTTGAAGGTTCTGAGGTGATGGGGTGTTGGGAAAGATGGTTTGATGTTCTCTCTGGAAACAACTTTTACTTCCATCATCATTCGATATCTGGTTGATATTTTTGGAAGCACAACAGGTTAGATCTGTATATGTGTTTAGAATAACTTTTATACATGTTAAAGAATCACTCTATTTAAATTTTAAGTTAGAATTAATTATTTTCTGTATGTGTATGTATGAATGTATCAAAATCATGTATTAATGCAATCTTGGGTTTGGGTCATATTCTTCTTGAAGGTGATTCTCAAAATGTGGTGACTGCAATCCAAGGCAAGGAGGATAATTTATCTTGCTATGGTCATTTGGTGGGTATGGCTCAAGCGCTTCTTTTGCGGTTTCATTCTTCATCGGTTTCGCATGTTTGTAGAGATGGCAATTCGGTGGCTCATTGCTTAAGTAGGCTCGCCTTTGATTTTGCTTCACCACAAGTTTGGATGGAGGAGGTTCCTCTTTCTTTAATGGCGTTAGTGGTGTCTGAGGCTTCTTCTTCTGTATAATTGCTTTTCCTATCTAAAAAAAAAAAAAAAGCAATTTTGAAAATAAATTTGGTGTGGTAAACATAAATTAAGGAAGTAATTTGAAATGGTAATTATGGTGGCATAATTTAAGGGTTTATATAAAACTCTATGAATTTAATTACGAACTAATTAAAATACAACACATAATGACACTTAGTAACTTCGTTATTAAAAAAAATTTAAAAAAAAAAATTGTGTTGGGAGTTTGAACCTTAAAGAAACCTTATTAATATTTAGTGTGTATGAAAATAATAAGATTTGATATATACGTTGAGTGGCTATGGTGAAAAGAATAAAACATGTTATGAAATTTTAATTATACAAATCATTTTCTGTTTTATGGTGAAGAATTTAAAATATTTTAATAGAAAATATTTTACAATTTGAGTGTGTTATTTATTAATTTTTTTAATTGAAAAGCTCCTTTTTTTTCTTTTTTTTTTTATAGTGTTGTGTGTGTGATTTATTAAATTTTTTTAAATTGAAAAACTTTTTTTTTGTGCGTGTGATTTATTAATTATTTTTTTTAATTGAAAAAGTTCGTCCTTGTTTGATCCTAAAGAAAGAATGAGTTTAGAAACAAAAAATGTATTCTTTATTTAAAAAAGAAAGTGTTTAAGTGTGTTGTTAATTATTTTTATAAATTAAAAAATTTAGATTGAGTATTTAGAGCTCTCTTATTTCTTCTCATTAAAAATTCTCTTTTACTTGTATAATATATAGATAGATAGATAGATTTTGGCACTCACTAAAACAAATTTTAGAAAAATTATACAAATGAATGCAAGTAAGTGTTTGGAAAGTCAAAAATTGGCTTTGTTGGCCAAAATTCATAAAAATACAAAATATATAAAAATAATTAATAAGACAAAATGTCATATCAAATTCATTATTATTTTATTTTATCTCTCAAATATCACATTCAACTACAAAAAAAATATAATCCTCTTCTTAAACACAAATGTTTTAACCTACTAAAATAGTTAAAATTAAAATACAATAATGTTAGGGATCATGAAAAAATATATCATAAAATTCATCATGAAGATTTTTCATCCCTTGATTGGTGTGTGGTGTTTTATTGTATGGGTAATCTAAAAGTGGAGAATCTTTCATGATCATCTTCATGATATTTTTTTATGATCCCTAGCATCACTCATTAAAATAACCTATTAAAATAACTAACTTTCCAAACAAGGCCAAGTATCATTTTAATATTTCTTCCTTTTTGGGGATCACGAATAACTAGTAAACATGGTTACATTTTAACATTTCTTCCCTTTTCGGTAATCACAAAATTTTAGCCTTAAAAATCCCATGTGCATATTCTTTTTCTTATGATAATGACTAAAATAAATAAGGAAATTTTATGGAAATCAATGAAAGTAAACGTGGTAAGATTTTATACAAAAATAAATAAATAAATAAATAAAAATTAAAAAAAATAAATTGTTAGGGGTACCAAATATTTTATTAAAATTTCTACAAAACACTCCCATGTGTGTAGGGCCACACTCCTATGAGATCCACACCCATGTGTATGATTTGGTAAAAATTTTAGTGGATTATGTTAGAGATTTCAAATGATTTATCAACTTTTTTACCAAACCTCTCACATGGGTGTAGGACCCACACACATGTGGGTTTGTGTGGGTCCCAGACTTATGTGAGAAGTTTAGTAAAAAATTTGATAAATCATTTAGGATCTATAACATTTTCCAAATTTTAGTAATCTGTTTGGTATCTCTAGTATTTTTGTATTTCAAAATCTATCTATAAATACTATCAAGTATAACACTTTTCACTATAATCATTGTTATAAATAATTTTTACTCCAACACTTTCTATTTTTAAACACCTAAGGACAAAAATGATAAAGTTATTTGTTGTTGTTATTGCCTTTGTTTTTCTCTCCATAACTACATGTCAATTTCTATTGACCTTTACTCTTTTTTTTTCTTTTTGGTTGTATTTTAAAAGTCATTTTTTAATTGTTAATCTTTCTTTACATTTTTTGTGTCGCATGATTGATCATGCATACCGACTAAAAAATTTAAAATTATTTATTACCAAAGTATATTGTCTTATTCGAATAATTTTTCTTTGAATTTTTTTTTTTTGTTACCACGACTAATTCATGGGATATAAGTAATCTTCTCACCTCACGTATACTAAGTAATTATAGAACTTGAGCCTAGGAATGAGATGGTCACGGGTCAAGTTTAGAATTTATAATAATCTACTCCCGTCTCATAGCATATCAAGGGCAAGGCAAATTGGGGGGTGACGGTGCGGGACGGGGATGTGTTAATTTTATAAGTTGAAAAATGAGAATATTAATAAAAAATTATAGATAATATAATATATTATGGATAATAATTTTTACTTAGGGCTGGTTTGGCAACTTTAGAAAAAGTCAAAAAGTTATCAAAAAAGTTAAAAAGTTATCACTATTCATCAAAAAAATATTAAAAAAATTAATATACAAATATTAATACAAATCAACTTTTCGGTCCAATCTAGGTACTGACGTGATGAACTAGTCAGTGAAAGGAAAAAAAAATTCCATGTGCATATGCACTCAATTGGATGGTAAAGTTAGGCCAGTGGGGACCCACCATGGGTCTCGTTTTGATAATCTGAACCGTTAAATATGTAAAACTCGTCTAGTATTATATGTTTGTAAAAAATCATGTCTATCGGATATCACTAACTATACGATCAAATCAATTTTGTATAAAAATGGATGATGTTATAGTTAACAGTTAACAAAAAAATTAACACGATCAGATAGCTAGATATACAATCAACGTGATTTTTTACCAACGTATAGTGCTCGACGAGTTCTACACATTGAACGGTTCCGATTAAAAAACAGGACCTGTGGTGGGCCCCCACGGGCCAAACAACACCGTTTAATCAAAGCCCGAGAAAGAGACAATATTTTCTCATCTACTCAACCAGCCGACTCCACTGCCAATCCGTACGGCCTCCTACCCTATCTTCTCCTACACACTTATTTATATAATTTTTTAATACACATTTTTTTTTATAAAAAGTCAAAAAGTTAACCCAAACATCCATATTTTTTTCCTCAACTTTTTAGTCCAAAAAAACAAAAAGTGCACTTATTTAGGACACCCCAAACAACCCCTTAATAAAAATTATAAGATATAAGATAGAAAATAAATAAATAAAAATTAATATTAAATATAATATTTTATTTTATTATAATGAAAAAAATTAAATTAATTTATATATATAAATATATTTAATAAATACAATCAGGGTGAGGTTTGGATAAAACAGAGTTATTCCATTTCTTAATTGGGGCAGGAAACATCTAGTACGAAATAGGGCGGAGAATACAAGTGTGGAACGGGGCGAGACAAAATAACCATTCCTAAGTGTATGATAGGAAACTTCTAACAATTGATCCAACTTTTAAAATTCAACCTCATAACTTTTCATAAAAAGTAATATGGGGGAGTAATGAGTAAATTGCAAATATTTAATATAACACGAATTACACTCGGAAAAATGTTCGTTTCCATCATGCATATGCGTCTCTTAATTTTTTACAATTATGAGCGATTTTTTTATTGTTTAGAATAATTGAGAGACTTAACATTTATTAATTTACTTTACTTTTTCAATTAATGTTTGTTTTTATTAGATATTCTATTGTATGCTCATTTTTAATTTTTTTAATACAATTTTCTTAATTTTTTATTAATATTAGTTGGACTCCCATGCGCTCCGCATGTGGGAGTCGCGCTATTATTGACTAAGAATAAGATGCACAACAACATATAGTATTATTAAGGTGTTTTTAGATAATTTTAAAATCGTAACATCAATCTACAAATAGACTTGATTAGATACAAAAAATTGAGTTTGTGAGTGTTAAATTCAAATTAAGTATCATCTCTATATAGGGGGGAATGATACTTACCAATCAGACTTATTAACTGCCTTTATTTACCTACATGTCCTATTGACAAATTTATCACTGTAAATTTATTCATAAAAATAAAAGAGACTGATAAATTTATCGATATGACTTAATGAATAATAAGTCCCAAAAATAGGACTTATTGGTAATTTATCCTAAAAAAAATTACAAATCAAAAAATCACATATTAGATTGTCTTATTTGACAGATGGTTTAACCATAAAAATATGTAACCTTGTTTGAGCGTTGTTGTTCATTGGTTGCTCGCTTGAGTGATTAGGTTGAATGGGTATAACCAAAGCAATTACTAATTTCTTCATTGTGGTAACCACTCAAAAAAATATTAGAACCAAATAAATCCAGCACATGCATATTCACTTTACCCATGTTTGATTTGATTTTTAAAAGTTTGTTTCATTTTTTTTTTAAAATTCATTTTTTCAAAATATTTATTTTGATATTTATTTTTATTAAATTAATTTCAAAATTTTCAATAATTTTTTTCCCCCTGAAAACAAGCCAAACCACCCATTGTTTTTTTACAAAATACATCAACTAAAAACTAAGTATCTAGACATATGTGTACCAAACAATGGTAACTTTAGTAGAAAAACAAGGCGGCTTTTGGTTAGCTGA